TATTCTTTAAATAGAAGACAGAAAGCGAAATCTCGGCACACTCCTTGCAGAAACACTGAAGGACTGAAAATGAGGAACAATAACTCCATTTTTTGGACTCGAGTTCTCGTTCCAGATATTTATTGATCTTACTGGCCTAACAGTAACCCATGTGGCTTTGTGTTGTAAACCATTGTTCCACGTTGCTATATTGTCTTGTAATACGAAGTTGAAAGTGAAAATTTCAAATTTTCAATCCTGTACAATTTGATATTCAATTGCATTTTTATTTTCTTGGAATAAAATGCTATAGAATGCCAGCAATAATATATTCAGCCAGCCAGATAACAATCGTAAACGTAGTATTTTAAGCTGCAGGAACAGAATTTTTCTACGATAAGCATACTTGTTTAAAACCTAGCATAGTAGTTTTTGCACAAGGAAACTTTTCATATAGAGAAACATGTACAAATTTTCCTCGTCTGAAAGGGTCGATAAAGAAAATTTGAGAAAGTATCTTGAGCACTATAATGCTGTTGGATAGGTATACTGTTATTGTGGCGGTCAGAAAATCGAAAACGCTTCATAGAAAATTTGCTATATACACACGGCAATTGACGAATAAAACTTACCATTTCAAAACTTGTAAAAATAAAGAACTTACTGATCTGTAACCGGCTTTATGGCGAAAATGATTTGAGGAATATATCAAGAAACGAAACGTTGGGTCTTGATTACAATTCGACTGCATGGGCTGTGTAATCATTTATTTATATCAAGAAAGTTATCGCTGAAACTTCACATTGTATTTTGCTTCTGATTTTTTTTATAATTACATAAGGAGTTTTTAACATTTTAAAGTCATTTTTGACAGGCGTTTGCTTATATTATCGCCATGTAAGAGGACAATTTCTATTTCAAGAAATTACAGTTCTGCTCGTATATTGAAATATTTATTCCTACAGTTCTCGGATTAAAAACGTTTAAAGTGAACTTGTTATCTCACGACATGAATTCAATATTTCTACACTGAAACAACGAACGATTTTCAATTACACAAAATAATCAATATGGTTATATTTAACAATCTATTGTATCTCAAACTACATCTGGTTCCTAATTCTACTTTTAATCGTTCATTATAAATGCAATATGATTAAAGTCAACTTGTTATCTCACTACATGAATTCAATATTTATACGCTAAAACAACGAATGATTTCAGTTACATGTATTGTATCTCAAACTACTTCCGGTACCTAATACAGCAGACCTTATGCATAATGACGTCACAAGGCTTGATGCCCACGAGCAATGCTGGTCTTAGAAGTCATCCCCGGGAAAATTAAACAATTCAAAATTGCCACTATCGAAATTTTCCCAGGCGATGACTACTAAGACCAGCATCAAGCCTTGTGACGCCTTTTTGCATAAGGTCTATTCTACTTTTAATCGTTCATTATAAATGCAACATGATTGAAGACATCTTGTTGTCTCAAGGAAATGAGTTCAAATTCTTACATTGTTTATACAACAACAGTAGTGTGCCACGATCTTGCTTGAGACATTTCCGGAAGTTCTTGCCAAGTATAACTTTCAAAGTTGAAAGCTTCAACTGACTTAAGTGCACCACGCCCACTCGACCCTCCCAGTACAACAATGTTGTTTCCAATAACAACTGCAGTACATCCCATTCTCTTACATCTCATTGACGGCAGCAAGTGACTTTGTTCAGTCTTTACATTGTAAATGATAACTGCATCTAATGTACTGCCCCGTTTGTCAGCGCCACCCATAACAAAGATGTTGTCTCCCCATCTCACAGTTGCCATGTCACTCAATTCATACGGCAGTGGTGCCAACTGTTTACATTTATTCTTCTTTATATCATACAGTACGACACTGCTGAGGCTGTCTTGGTGTCTGTCAGTTGTTCTTCCACCAACGATCAACAAGTTATCATCAAACAATTGCGTGCTGTGATCCCGTCTTGGTTCTGGCATTCTTGATAAGGTCTTCACAGTATACGGAGGAACCAGCTGGACTTCATGAATACAGTCAGATACTCCATTTTCATTATAACCACCTGTGACTATCAAGTGATCATTATACAGCACACTGCTGTGGTTTGCCAACTTAGCAGGTAGTTTAACAGGACACTCACTCCAGTGCATTGAGAGATCAGGGTTTGGGTTGATATTCATTCTAATCATATCATCGACCCAGCCAGAACAGAAACCTCCAGCAATTGTCACGTGATTGTTGTAAACAAATGAAGTTTCTCCCCAACGCTTCTTTGGCAAGGATTGCAATGGCGACCATGTTCTTTGACGCCAGTTGAACATCTCTACAGAGTCAGTTCGTGCACCTCCAGCAACAATTATATTTTCCTTATCACCACTTGCTGTATTTCTTACTTTTCTTGTGTTTTCTTCTATCTTGTCCTCCATCTTGACAAGAACATCCTTCATTTCATCAAAACCTTCAATCAAAGATGTTTTTAATCCTCTCACTTCATTATTTACTGCTTCGAGTTTTCCTTCCATATCTGTTTTGATATCTGCCGCATTTGTCGCCATATTCGTTTGCATATTCTTCATGTGGGTTTCCATAGTAACCACTGTCTCCCTTTTTGCCATATTCTTCTCGACATTCGCGATTCTTTTCTCCATATCTGCCAAAGTTTTTGTCATTTCTCCGCACGAGTGGCACTTCAACTTTCGAAATTCACATAGTTCACTTTGATGGTGAATAAGATCACGCTGGTTTAAAGTTGCACCACAGCCTTGGTTTGTACAAACGGCTGGTGTAAATCCACATGTAACCTCATGGTTGTCAAGATGTTGTAATTGTAGAATCTCTTGACAACCTCTGTCGATGTAAATGCAATGAATGTTTAATTCATTTAACATATCTTTTACCATTCTGTTGGGTTCGGCCAAAGTCTCTACGGTCAGTTCGTCCGCACACGTAGGGCATCTTCGAGAATTCTCGAGGTGTTTCGTAATACAAGAACGACAGAAACAATGATGGTTTCTCGGACACAGGACGGGCTCTCTTAAAACGTTGAAGCAAATCAAACAGAGGAAATTTCGATTGACTGTGGTCGCAAACCTCTCCTCATCATAGCCTTGTATGTACGACGCCATATTTCACGCCATTCTTGTTTCGTAATAACAAAGCAAGTTCTGTGTTGATGTTAGTCGCTCTGTAGTATAAACCTCGCTATACAGACTGAATATAGATACAGTGTTCGTTCTTCGAGAAAATCTGTGTTAATATTTCCTTGAAATCTTTAACAAAATGATCTGTTTACAGCAGCAGATAAATATCGCTTCCGCATAAAGTGTTAAAGCGTCTTTACTAGACAGGAATTTGCTGGCATGAAATAAAATATTGAATATCTTGTGACCAAAAGGTCATCTCCTGATATTAATACTGGCTTGCAATTGGCTACATTATGTTGACAAGAATTTCGTGTTTCAAAATATGGAAATTAGTTCCCAGAAAATGATCTTTTTTACCAAGAAAAATCGATCTTAATAATGTATATAGACTGAGCTAATGTTATTTTGATCGATGTGGATAAAGTCTGTATTACAATTTGCTTCAAATCATTCACAAAATTATGTCTTTAGAGCAACAGACCAATATCGCTTCCGTGCAAGTATTTCAAGCGTCTTTTGCAGACTGGTATTTGTTTATACAAGATAGAATATTCAATGTACCGCGATGGGTGGTCATCACCTCATATTAATACTGGCTTACAACTGGTCACATTATGTTGACAAGAATGTCTTGTTTCAAAATATGGAAATGAGTTCCAAGTCAATGATTTTTTAATACCAAGAAAAGATCGTTTGAAATACTATCGGGTCATGAACAGAAATGCAACATAGGAACATGATTACAAATGGCAAACTAATACAGATATTTTAGTACTTTACAGGAACCACCGAGTATTAAAAAACAGTAACTTCGAAAACAGTAAACATTTTGAAAAGTGTTTTGGCGACATTTCGACTGCAGATTTTAGTCTTAATCAGAAATGATGAAATTACTACATATCACAGCTATATATACCAGTGAAGAAATATGAAAAATACTATGTAAGATCATTGGTTAAATATTATTATTAGAAGCTTTAGTTCCGTGATTGATTAAGATTAGGTTTCAATCTAGTTTATAAGTACCAAGTCTAAGAACAGTAGTCAGCTCTATCGATTATTTTACCGTTATTGGAAAGGAAATCAGATAATATACATGATATATTAGAGTCTGATGTGGTGTTAGTTTCATTACAGTTTTGATGTAATTAAATTGTTCACATAATGAGATGTGGTTATAAACTTGAGAACTGTCTTAAATGAATAATGTTCATTCTGAATATTTAAAGTTATTGGAAGGTATGGATAACAGTGAGATTTCAAAATAATGAAGAGATAATAAAAGAATACAATTACTGGATCGTGTCGAGATGAAATCTGGAACGGTCTCAAGACACATGTGGATTGTGAGGGATACAACTCGCTGAAAAATACAGAGTCTTCGCCCGAAACGACGAAGTTCTGCTGGTATATTTCAGGTAGCTGTATCCCTCGCAATCCACAGCTGTCTCTGACTGGATGTCATAGAGAACAAATCAAAGAAACATTCTGCTCATTGAATAGTGACTGGAGCATGCTAACTGTTATGCATGAAAAGGGCCTTTATGAGAGCTTATACTAAGCATTATGAAAGCTTCAAAAACTCATTAAAAATTCATGAAGCAATTATCCAATCTTGAGTAAGAAATTAGTCACGTGCATACGTCTTTATACCAGCTAAAGAACACTTTAACAAAAGACCATTGTTATGCAAACTATATAAAGATTTTTATATAAAGATTTTTATATAAAGATTCGACTTATCATGCAAACGTTTTTGAAGCCATTTAAAAAACTCGCAGGTCGTGTTTTATTAGGTCTAAAGCCACGAGCGCAGTACTTAAACAACGTGGTCAATCATTAATTTTGAGTTAAAAAAAACTATAATTTATTCGCATTGGTTATACACAACAAACTATTTTCATTTTTTGGTATTATATGTAGACCATAGCCTGTGCTGGTCAGATTACATCAAATTTGATAAAAGTCATGCAACTTTTTAAATCACAAATATCCAGCAGATGGTGAACCTGCAGTTATCAGAGTGAGAAAATAATCTTCATTCTTTTCATTCTATGTACACTCTAAATTTCAAGCAATTGAATCAACTCGGAAAGTGTTATTCTGTGACCAAAAACATTGACAAAATAACTCTTTTCAAGTTGATTCTCCGAAATTTACAGTGTAGTTGTTTTGTATTCGGTACCAAAAGATAAAATAAAGAATGTAGTTTATTTTCTCTGCAGATATTATAAATGTCAGCAATTTCAAAGTTGGCCACATTCTGCTGTACTGTAACGTGATGTAAAGACAATCAGGTATTTGAATCACACAA